TTTAACATGTGCGTATTTCTTGTTGCATGATTGGTTCCCTCCTTTTGGAGTAAAATTCAGTGAAATAGGACTCCTATTTTGGAAAAGAGAGTAAGTGCACAACAAAGGATAAATGATCAAATGATTAGCTAGAGGCTATTAGGAATGCATGGGAAATGTGACAGATCACGTATTAGCAGGACATTTGATCTCAAAATAAATTTGAAGCCTTTTACAGCTGAAGTTGGCAAAAAAAATTAAGAATTATTGTAAGGAGATACCTGAAACTTCAGAACAGTATTGATGCACTGAATTGCATTTAAAAAAAGCAAGAAAGGTTTTGGGAAGGAAAGTTGTCAATTTTAATATAAAAGAAGCTTTCATTTATGCACTTCAGTTTTTTTAATCTGTCTTTCTTTGAAATGATCCATGCAAGCATTTATAGGCCAGCAACAGTAATACTGACCACTTAAAATTGCATTCAGTTGTCCATATGCCTAGACTACATCTAATTTCTGTAATAAGAGTAAATTTGAGGGCACCAAATAAAATGTCACCTCAGACCTTAAAAACAGCCATGTGTCAACAGGGAAACACAGACCTCGATTGGAAAAATCTGAGCTTTTTAATGCAAAGAAGTGAATATTTCCTTATTTAGTGACCTAGCAACTGTTTTTAATTTAACCTTGCTGTAGGTACATGTCACTTTGTATTAATGCAATTCGCTTTCTTTATAGAGATCGCATTCCTTCTCTGAGTATAACATTAACTGTTTCCGTGCTTCAGCTTGTGTGTTTGCTAAACTTTAGAAGATTGGAATAATCCTTTTTAACCTAATTTTAAAACCATCTTTTAGAAGCTTATATTTAATTTGAACTTTAAATTGATCTCTAAAAAAAATCTAAGTATGTAGTATCCTGGAATAAAACTTTAATCCCATTAGATACAGTAAACTTTTTCTTCAGTTTTTAAACAGAGCTAAATTGTTGTATGCAAAATGAAGGATGGTGGGTAACTATGGTGATTTGTTTTTTGGTGTGGGCTGAAGCTAGCTATAGAACTTGGTGATTTGTTGAATAAATATCTTTTGAACTTTGAATTCTGCATAGACCTTTATTGTCCGTTTCACAGCAATATAAAAATGACCTTCCTTTTCTAGAAGATGAAAATTATTATAAAGGATAATATTCGATGCAAGTAGGGTTGGCAAGCTGGTCAATTGACTGGTTAAATTTTGTCAGTTGACCAGTCAATTAACTGCAGGTTTTTCACTGGTCAAAGATTATAGCAGTTTAACCAAAAAAATCATATGTTTTGTGGTTTTCTTGACAGAAATAAAATTTTAAAATTTTTAACACATTTTTAATAGAAAATTTTTGCTTTTTCTGTCTATTAGCAATTTTTTTTTACAATTTTTGACTGATATTTGACCAGTCAATTGACCAAACTATTTGACCAGCCAAATATCCAACCTTAGATGCAAGTAATAGTGAAAAAGTTGTAGAAGTACCTACTTTTAACCCAAGACCAAAAAAGTGACAGGTGAGCATGCTTTAATAATCAAGAGCTGGTGGACATGTTTTTTTAAAATATATTCTGTCCATCTAACAGAATGATAAAGTCATAAATATAGGTCATAGCTCCCATATTATTAGCAGCTAATGGAGATTTTTCTTTGGTAAAAAAGTAGGCAGTTTATTTGGTGCAGGTGGAACAGTATAGATGTTATAATGACAACTTTTGAAGTCCTCCTTGGCAACACACTTTCTCCACTAATTATGTTTTAATATCAATTTGTGAAATTTCTATGAATCCAGTATTTGCCCAAGTTGCTGCAACGCATGGAGAAGTTAGTGCAATAAGAATGAACTTAGAAAATCAAGCATTTTTCTTTGAATATTTTCAAAATAGTAGAACATCATCACTGCAGGTACCATACCAGCAGTTACACAAGGAGGGAAGGAGTGTTACAGCATTGCAATCTGCCACTACATTGTAGATCATGTTTAAGAGGCGAAGCTTAGCAAGATTTCCTTCTTCTTCTGGTGTAATTTCTACATCTTGTCTCGTTCAACCTTTCTATTGTACACTTCTGTTAAATGCTCTCATAGGAGTATAGTCTGTTTGGCTGCGCTAGCTAACACCAGTACCTGGCATGTGAATTTGCAGATAAATCTAAAGGAAGTATATGAAAAAAAGTATTAATTCCTTCAGTGGTGCCACAGAGTCTAAGTAGAGATGTTCCATCCACAGCCAGTCTGGTTGAGCCTTGCTAATTATAATTTCAAGATGCCAGTATGCCAATACTAAATCTGTTCCACTTCCGTTCACAGCTATGTCGTCTTATCTTTTAATTGTTAAATCTGAACTGCCCGGTACAATTGCAGGGTTCTTAAGTGGAGAAGAAAGCGGGTAAGGAAAAAAATATTTCAAATGTTTATTATCTAATGGGGAAAACGCAGTTCCCGTAAAGATTGCTAAGCTCCGTTGCAAGGTGTGGGCATGGGTACCAACACTTCCCTTTGATTTCACATTGCCAGAAAGAAGTGATTTATAGTTGTTCCTGGAACACAGGATGCAGTTAGCATATGTAAGTGTTCTGCAGTTCACAAACGCATACAGAGCCTGATTTTCTTTCTCTTGCAGCAGTTTCCTTTCCTACACTTTTTAAAGTTAAAGGTAAAACCCTGTCCAAAAAAATGCCTGTCCCCTGAGAACTGAGCTTGAAAAGCAAAGGAAGGGGGCAAAAAAAAACTGCACAAACTGCTGTCATGTTATCGCTGCACATATTTTTAAACCACAATACAAAAACGGCAGGCATTCAAGTTTAAATATTTTGTTGTCTTGCTCCAGTAATTGGACTTGTCTTGGGAAACATGCCAGGTTTCCAGACTTGGTTTATAATTCCTCCATTTGGTTTCCAGTAAAGAAATTATGCTTTTAGTTCAGATGTATAGCAGTATGTAAAATTAGCGCTCTTCAGATCTATATCAGAACCACTGCAAGAGTACTGTGGCTGTACTAGCTAAGAAAAACATTTCAGCTTTAGCACTGGAATATCTTACTTTGGCTGTTACAAGCTGCCATCATTTATGACGGCGTGTTTTAGTTGTTAGCTATCTTTTCAAACTGCCATTTTTGTAGATTTTGAACTCTAATTTTTTTTCCTGGGTTTAAATTTGAGGCTGTGGCAGTATGCACACTTGTGATTTTCTATATTGTTTTTATGGATGCATTTTGCCTGATATTAGCTTTAAAAAGGTTATAGTGTTTTAGATATTTTTAACTAATGCTTTTTGTGCTTGCCGCAAAAGCTGCTGTCATTTTGACGAGGGACAGAAGTTGCACATAAACCAGTATAAGTGATTGGAAACCGGTTCAAATCCGTAACACAACAGAAGTTCAGTGTATATAAACTGCTTTCAAAATGGCTAAAGCAGTATAACGTAAACCTGATGGATGTAGTATCAGATTTAACACAGTCTAGCAGCATCCCAGAATGCTTTGCACCTCCCCCACAACTCTCCCCGTCCTACAGTGTGGGCAGGCCAACTTTGGCCCAAGCTGTCTGCTCAAACCAAGCAAGGAGGTATGCTCTGGCACCCCGCGGCTTCTGGCCTGGGCAACTGCAGGCCTGTGGCTGCATTTCCAGGATCAAAAGTGAACTTCTGTTCACTTGCTTGTCAGTTCAATCTCTGCAGCTTAGGCTAACCTGCAAAGATTGAATCAATTCAGTCTTGGACTTTTTGACTGTCTGTACTTAGCCCTTAAGATGGATCAGAGTTGATGTTATTACATGGGGAGGTTTAAGCCTTTTCTGATTGTGCTTTTAATTTGGTAAGTTTTTGTAGTAAACGGAAAAGCCACGGTGGCCTCACTTTGAGCCATGGTGGCCTGAAGTGTCTGAAGAGTTTATAGGTTACATTTTATCAAAATCTTTTCCCAAATTTTGTCTGGCTTGAGGACCTAATTATTGACTTGACTTTTAAATAGTGGCTGTATTCATGTAAAGTGACTTTTTCAACAAAAATTCAGAAGAAGGAAAGCAGGAACTTTTTTAGATGTATATGCCACCCTTCCCCAACAGGCTCAGGGCAGCTTACAATAAAAGAGGAAAAAAATATAGAAATTGAATAAACTATTACAATAGGAACAATCAACCCACCCAGGTACAAGATTCCCCACACCCCGCAAGCTGAGAAGTCATCCACCCCATCCCAGCCACTACCCTGCCTCTCACCTAGGAGAGAGTTTCTCCCCACTCCACCCAGCCCAACATCTGTTTCCAACTTACAGTCAATACCTCTGGAAAAGATGATTCCCTTCTACCCATATTCCCTGCCACCTCGACGCACTCCCATGGCCCTACCTCCCATGTCCTTACTGTCCCTTCCCAGCTATAGCCTCCCTCTCAAAGGGGAGTGGGGCTTGCAGCTCTCTCCAGAATCTATTAATTATCCCCTTCCCTACAAAGAGAACCTGTTCAGCTGAAAAAGAAAAAAAGCCCACACACTTCTTTACCCTCTCTCTCAGCCAAAGGGTAAGGCAAAAGCACTCTTTTGAGCATTCCCCTTTGGTGGTGCCTGCCCTAGACACCTGCTCCAGGGTGGCCCGCAGTCCCTTGTAAAGCCACAGAGTAGTGAAAACCCCTCCTTTGCTGCCAGTCTGGCTCCACTTGCCTACTCAACCTCCCAGCCCTTCCCCTGCTCTTGGCCCCCAGAAGTGGGTTAATAACAACTTTTGTAGTGAGTTAATAATAATTATGCATTCAGTAATAAAACCTCAAAAACCTCCTCTGTTGAGAATGGGGTCTCATTCTGCTGGGCACTTCACAAGTGTGGGTGTTATGGTGACACGGTCCCTGCCTCAGCATCACGTGGTCCAAAAAAGAGTTGACGTTTGACCACCTAATGAAGAGTCAGCCAGTCTTTACTGGTTGTGCAGTAAATCTGTCAAATTTTCAAAATAAGGATACTAACAAAATAATGTATTTTTTCCTTGAAACAGTGTACGGGCTTTTTTAGCATTTAGGTCTAGTTCAGTTCCCACTGAAGGTTTTTGATCGTCAAGTTTTTGATCGCAGCATTATGGTCGTGATCCAGCTCCCCAAATCTATACAGGCAGACCTCGAACTTACAACACAATTGGTTCCTGAAAACCGCATCTTAAGTCGAAATGTAACTCTGAGCCAATTTTCCCATAGGAAACAATGTTATAAATGGGGGATTGGTTCCTGAACCAAGGCCCGATACCTTATTTTCACCAAAAATATCCCAGAATTTTTTACTCAATCAATTATAGATGAATAATATAGCTACATTAATGTATTTATGTTGTAAATAGCAATCGTATTGATTTGGAAGGACTTCTTTGAGGTGACTTTGAAGAATTTTTTTAAGGTTCTTGGCTGGAGTCTTCTCAGGAGTCTTGGCTGCAGGTTTTTCTGGAGTCTTGTCTGTTTTCTTAAAGAAGGTGTCCAAGGGAATTTGGACAGATGTTCTCCGGGGGGGGGGGCGGCGCAGCGAACTTGTTTGCTAGCGTGGTGTCGTGTTGGATCAAGCGTTGTAAAGTCAAAACTGACATCACAAAGTCAAAGCAGAGTGTCGATTTATAAATGTCGTAAGTACGAAACGGTGTAACGCGAAACATTGTAAGTCAAGGATTGCCTGCACTCAGCTTATGACAAATAATTAAAAACTACCTTTTAAGGAATTCCATAAGTGCGTAAGCCAGGCCAAGATACTCCTTCCTTTCTTGCATGTGTCAAAGATGGGAGCCTGATCACTTCACCTTTTAACTTACATATCCTATTGAAGCCCCATGAAGTAGCCAGAATCTTGAATACTTTTTTCCTTTTGTATTTGACACAATCCTGGTGTATAACTGCTTGATAGTAATTTTTTTTAAATCACAAAAAATAATTGAATACAGAAAATATGTAATAAAATATCTAATCTGAAGAGCACAGATAGGCAAGGAACATAAAAATTGTGTATGCTGATTTAAGGAATTCTACTAGACAGTTTATTTCCAGATGTGGTTACATGACAGTTTTGTTTCTGTTAGGTCAGTTTGGTATATGATACCCTTTCATCTGGTGCACAGTTTTTCTTGAACTGCAGTTATTTTAACAAACTGACACTTTTGAAATATCATTATCTGCAAAAAAAAAAAA